TTTTTTATGAAAACAAGCAGTTATTAAATGAATAGAGTGCAAGTCTAAAAGGCGCAAGTTTTTTTATAAGAATAGAATTAGAATAGAGAGCGCTAGAGTTAGATGGTCAAATAAAGATGGAAGAGATGTGTTTTTAGCCGATTCTTGAAGATGGCTAAGGACTCAGCTGCTCGAATTGAGTTGGGCAGGTCATTCCACCAGGAGGGAACATTTAATTTAAAAGTCCATGAGCGACGTTCACTTGCAGAATGCAAGCTTCTAGAGGGCACATAACTCTGAAGTAATGAATTTAGGTAAAGGGGTGCAGAGCCAGTGGTGGTTTTGTAGGCAAACATCAATGCCTTAAATTTTACGCAAGCAGCTATTGGTAACCAGTGCAAATTGATAAACAGAGGTGTGACGTGCATTCTTTTCGGCTCATTAAAAATTAATCTTGCTGCCGCATTCTGGATTAATTCTAAAGTTTTGATAGAACTGGCTGGAAGACCTGCCAAGAGAGCATTGCAAAAGTCCAGCCTGGACAGAACAAGAGCTTGAACAAGGAATTGTGAAGCATGTTCCGAAAGAAAGGGCCTGATCTTCTTGATGTTGAATAAAGCAATTCTGCAGGTCCGGGCAGTTTTAGCAATGTGGTCTGAGAAAGTCAGCTGATCATCAATCACAACTCCAAGGTTTCTGGCTGTTTTTGAAGGAGTTATAGTTGATGTGCCTGTATGGTGAAATTGTGATGAAACGATGGGTTTGCTGGAACCACAAGCAGTTCTGTCTTGGCAAGGTTGAGCTGAAGGTGATGTTCCTTTATTCAGCAAGAAATGTCTGATAGACAAGCTGAGATGTGAGCAGTTATTGTCGGATCATCAGGATGGAATGAAAGGTAGAGCTGAGTGTCATCAGTATAGCAGTGATATGAAAAGACATGTTTCTGAATGACAGAACCTTGTGATGCCGTGTAGACAGAGAAGAGAAGTGGTCCAAGAACTGAGCCCTGAGTCACCCCAGTAGTTAAATGTTGCAACTTGGACACCTCACCGATACCTTGAAGGACCTTTCTGAGAGGTAAGATTCAAACCACTGGAGTGCGGTTCCTGAGATGCCCTTTGCCAATTGGATTGACAGGAGGATCTGGTGGTTAACCGTGTCAAAAGCAGCGGACAGCTTTACAATCATTACTTGGGGATAAAAATTTAGCTGAAAGGAGCTACAGGAAATTAAATAATTGGACTGTATTCTTTGTGAAGTTGTGGTTTAGAGTTTTGAGGAAATTACAATTAGAAAAACAGGCTGGAGTTTTAAAGTGGATAGCATATGACCCAGATTTTGAACCAGCTAAGTTGGATGAAAGATTTAAACAATGGATCTGGAGAGGAATTACATCTTATTGCTCTGTCACTTCTAAGGGAAATTTATTGAGCTTCCAGGACATGTCAGACACATTTGGATCGGAAAAGCAGGATTTTTATAGATATTTGCAAGTTATGGATTACTTTAATAAAAAAGTGTATAGTATCGAGCGATGAAAATCTGATTACAACATTTATTAATGCATATTCAAAAGAAGACAATAAGAAGTTGGTATATTTATTAATGGAGAACGTGGCAAAGTCGTTAGCTGTTAGAGTTGATGAAGGAGGGGGAGGACAAAGGAAGGAGGAAAATGTTTTAAAGAGCATGCGAGAGTTAGATGAATTGTTACTTTTATTATGATAGCATGTCCTTTTAGCAGTGGAGACATTAGCAGAGAAGGAAGAGAGTAGTGACTGATATACATAAAGGTCAGTAGGATTTTTTGATTTGCGCCACACCCTTTCAGCAGCCCTGAGCTTAGAATGATTGTTGTGGAGAACATCAGATAGCCAAGGGGCAGAAGGAGTGGTACGGGCTGGCTTGGAAGACAGGGGCAGACAGTTTCTAAACAAGACGAAAGAGTGGAGCAGAAAGTATCAGCACTGTTAGCATCAAGAGATGCTAACTGTTTAGGGGAGGATGCGAAGACGAAACCATAGCAGATAGCCGGTAGGGTGAGAGTGAGCGTAGGTTACATCGAAAAGTGACATGTTGAGGGGTATGTGTTGTGTCAGTAACCATGTTGAAGTTAAGAGTGAGGAGAAAGTGATCCGAGGTGTGCAATGGAGTAACCAGCACATGATCAGTGGAGTAGTGTCATGTGTAAATAAGGTCCAGTTGGTTGCCTGATTTGTGAGTAGCCGTAGTTAACACTCTCGTGAGATCAAAAGAGGCAAGCAGAGTGTAGCAGTCTGCAGCCTGAGGTTTTTCTAGGTGGATGTTGAAGTCTCCAAGCAAAACTAGGGGAGTACCATCCTCAGGAAAGGTTGAGAGCAGCACATCTAATTTATCCAAGAAGTTACCTTGTGGGGCTGGGGGTCGATAAACAACTACAAAATGGATTTTAAAAGGGTGGGTAATAGTGACTGAATGTGATTCAAAGGAGCTGTTAATACCCAGAGAAGGTAAAGGAATAAATTTCCAATCATTACAGATAAGCAGACCAGTACCTCCACCTCTTCCAGGTATACGGGGAGTGTGGGAAAATGAGAAATTATTGGAGAGTGCTGCAGGAGTAGCAATGTCCTCTGGTTTGATCCACGTCTCTGTCAGGGCCATGAGGTTTAGTCTTGAATGACTAGAAATAGATGTAATGAAATCCACTACAAATACCATTACAAACCATCAACTTTTAACCATTAAAAATAGTTTTTTTGTAGTGTGTTTTGGGACACATTCCATTAGGATTTTTTGGTTTTAACAAGCCACCAATAGAAGGTGACCAATTACCAGTAGAGACGCACAGGGTCCATTACAGGTTCCATTGAAACCAATACAATTCCCATTATAACCAGTAAAACCATTACAAATTATGTGATGGTGTCTATTGTTTTTTTTCAGCAGGGATAACTCATTGTAACAATCAACGTTTTTTTTTGCGTTTGTTGTAATATTGGCCAAAAGGCAACATTCAATATAACATGAATTTAAAGCCCTGTGTCTTAAAAATTTCAAATGGCTAACATGCAATATAACACAAGGCCACCAACTTGTCCTGAAAAACATGTATGGCAAACAGATGACAATCTGCTTACTTTCCAAGGTATTACAATATTGCAATTTTGTTTTAGACCTAGACTGAACTCATGTGTTCTGCCAAGCTGGATGTATCATTATGTACCTCTAAGTTGGCCTCACCAATAAAGCCGAGCCTCGCATGCCAGGAATACAAATGGTGCATTGTACTAGCCTTTGATGACAGTCTTTACATTAGGCAGCACTGAAAACTTCTAAAAGTAGATAATTAATAAGGCTAGCTTGTTTCAACATGCCTCTAAAATAAGTTTAAATAAGTTATTTAATAAAAAAAATTCAATGTAAAGGTTATTTGATCATTTAGATCAATTTATTTAACTATATTATAAAACATCAATTAAGTAAACAATTTTATAGATGTGTATTAACTTGTCGATTTAATAGGCCTAAGTGATTTTTTGTCTAAATTTTATGTTTGAATTATTATACTGATGAGTTATTCCTTTATTTTTAAGTGTCACTATCCTCCATATATTAAGGGCCATTTGAATGGAACCAGACTTTGCCCTTACAAATCCAGCATTGATTAAGCCTCGAGAAAGATTTATTTGGAGATCTTTGTCCAAAGGTGGCTCATGGCACAATGCACAATCTGTATGTTCCTTTAAATATTATAGCCTTTATTGATAAAATATTGCTATTTTATTATCATTGAGATATTATTATAATTTTTATTCATATTTTAAATTCGTTTTTATTTTATATTTTAAATTTTCATTGTAATTTGAGTTAAGCCTACATTTTTAGTAATTTGTATGACTTTTTTTATTTCGGTTATTTTAGTACAAAAATAAACTCAATGAAAATGGTTGCCTTGACAACTTGCTGAAATAAAGTAAGTTTTCAAATATTTTATTTACCATGTATTTTATTTCAAGTAACAAACATGTATTTCTGTGGTTTCAGACTTACCGATAGCTAATAACCTTGATATACAAGCTTGAATTAATCTTGCATAATAAAACACATATCAGTTCAAACCACTTTCAACATAACTTTTAACACTCACCACTGGGTAAAAATTTAATTTAAATAACATAAAAAATGCTTACAAAAAAAGCAAAATACTCTTTCAATAAGCTTCATAAAATTAAGTATTAGATTTTTGGTTGCCTGATTTGTGAGTAGCCGTAGTTAACACTCTCGTGAGATCAAAAGAGGCAAGCAGAGTGTAGCAGTCTGCAGCCTGAGGTTTTTCTAGGTGGATGTTGAAGTCTCCAAGCAAAACTAGGGGAGTACCATCCTCAGGAAAGGTTGAGAGCAGCACATCTAATTTATCCAAGAAGTTACCTTGTGGTGCTGGGGGTCGATAAACAACTACAAAATGGATTTTAAAAGGGTGGGTAATAGTGACTGAATGTGATTCAAAGGAGCTGTTAATACCCAGAGAAGGTAAAGGAATAAATTTCCAATCATTACAGATAAGCAGACCAGTACCTCCACCTCTTCCAGGTATACGGGGAGTGTGGGAAAATGAGAAATTATTGGAGAGTGCTGCAGGAGTAGCAATGTCCTCTGGTTTGATCCACGTCTCTGTCAGGGCCATGAGGTTTAGTCTTGAATGACTAGAAATAGATGTAATGAAATCCACTACAAATACCATTACAAACCATCAACTTTTAACCATTAAAAATAGTTTTTTTGTAGTGTGTTTTGGGACACATTCCATTAGGATTTTTTGGTTTTAACAAGCCACCAATAGAAGGTGACCAATTACCAGTAGAGACGCACAGGGTCCATTACAGGTTCCATTGAAACCAATACAATTCCCATTATAACCAGTAAAACCATTACAAATTATGTGATGGTGTCTATTGTTTTTTTTCAGCAGGGATAACTCATTGTAACAATCAACGTTTTTTTTTGCGTTTGTTGTAATATTGGCCAAAAGGCAACATTCAATATAACATGAATTTAAAGCCCTGTGTCTTAAAAATTTCAAATGGCTAACATGCAATATAACACAAGGCCACCAACTTGTCCTGAAAAACATGTATGGCAAACAGATGACAATCTGCTTACTTTCCAAGGTATTACAATATTGCAATTTTGTTTTAGACCTAGACTGAACTCATGTGTTCTGCCAAGCTGGATGTATCATTATGTACCTCTAAGTTGGCCTCACCAATAAAGCCGAGCCTCGCATGCCAGGAATACAAATGGTGCATTGTACTAGCCTTTGATGACAGTCTTTACATTAGGCAGCACTGAAAACTTCTAAAAGTAGATAATTAATAAGGCTAGCTTGTTTCAACATGCCTCTAAAATAAGTTTAAATAAGTTATTTAATAAAAAAAATTCAATGTAAAGGTTATTTGATCATTTAGATCAATTTATTTAACTATATTATAAAACATCAATTAAGTAAACAATTTTATAGATGTGTATTAACTTGTCGATTTAATAGGCCTAAGTGATTTTTTGTCTAAATTTTATGTTTGAATTATTATACTGATGAGTTATTCCTTTATTTTTAAGTGTCACTATCCTCCATATATTAAGGGCCATTTGAATGGAACCAGACTTTGCCCTTACAAATCCAGCATTGATTAAGCCTCGAGAAAGATTTATTTGGAGATCTTTGTCCAAAGGTGGCTCATGGCACAATGCACAATCTGTATGTTCCTTTAAATATTATAGCCTTTATTGATAAAATATTGCTATTTTATTATCATTGAGATATTATTATAATTTTTATTCATATTTTAAATTCGTTTTTATTTTATATTTTAAATTTTCATTGTAATTTGAGTTAAGCCTACATTTTTAGTAATTTGTATGACTTTTTTTATTTCGGTTATTTTAGTACAAAAATAAACTCAATGAAAATGGTTGCCTTGACAACTTGCTGAAATAAAGTAAGTTTTCAAATATTTTATTTACCATGTATTTTATTTCAAGTAACAAACATGTATTTCTGTGGTTTCAGACTTACCGATAGCTAATAACCTTGATATACAAGCTTGAATTAATCTTGCATAATAAAACACATATCAGTTCAAACCACTTTCAACATAACTTTTAACACTCACCACTGGGTAAAAATTTAATTTAAATAACATAAAAAATGCTTACAAAAAAAGCAAAATACTCTTTCAATAAGCTTCATAAAATTAAGTATTAGATTTATTTTAAGAATATAACTTTGTCTTTTAGCCTGTACAGTACTATTATACAGACAAAATGGACATTAAATGTGCATGTTTATGTGCTGCAACTTGCATTTGTTCCTATTAGCAAATCATACCTAAAAAAAAAAGCATTATATGTACGGTGTTCAATAGAGGGCGCCAGTAAACATGACGCACAGCTCGCTCAAGAGAAAAAGCACAACATGAGGTCGGCAGAAATTGTGTACGCCTGCGCCCTTGACATGCCGCTGTCTCGCTATTTTAAAACAGCTGCACTTGAAAGTGTTAGCCGCTGGATGTCAATCAAGACGACTCGAATAACATGCATTCTTAATATATAAATTCACACAGTAGCCTTCGTGGAGTCTAATAATATGTAAGAGCACCGTACACGTCATGTGTAGCGCGAGCCAAATCACTTGAAGTTCGCTGGACATTATTTCATTTTCTTATTCGGCATACGGAGACTCTGCTCTAGATAGCTCACAGTTTTTGAGATGATCAATTTCTGCAATGGCGAGGGGTCTGTTTTCACGGGCCTGGATGTCAAAGATTTACCACTTTCAGGTAAAAATCCCTTTGCACATTATTATGCATTATTGTTATGACGAATCATCTCTACCTCCTAGCGAATGCCTGGTGAGAATTAATTTTTCGCAGCAGTGTGGTTGACCTTTAAGACCGAGATAATTTTTCTTATCTTGAATCTATATGTTTTGTTTTTAACGAGGTAAAAACGTGGTGCAGCTGCTGCTATAATCTGCTTGGAATCTGTATCAGGTCTTGTAACCGTAGTCACAGACAGTATCTCGCTTTTGCACACGCGACCACAATAGCATGGGTTTCAAAATATGTTTTTGACGTCAGAGACATATGGTGAAGGAATTTTTCTTATTTATGGAAATAATTCCTCCATTTACCCTTGAGAGGACTGAGTTGTCATGGGCTGCTCTGCTGTAAGATTAATCCCCTTCACTGGATGCAGTTAAACTGGGTCTGTGGTGCCTTGGCTGCCTGCACAACTCCACAACAGGACTAAGGAGCTTAAATAGAAGCCAGGCTTAGAGCAGACATGTGAAATGTTTTTTATATTTTGAATGTAAAGGATTGAATCATTGTTTATGATCCATATGTAAACTAGAGACATGCATATGAACATTTCAAATGGCAAACTAAATATGAAAGCCATTCGTTCACATAACCAAATGGCTTTAAATATGGAATTCAGTAACACTTTATTTAAAGGTGTCCTTGTTACACATATTACATGTACTTACTAGCCTATTATAAAAACAATTAATTACATGCAAGTAACCCTAAGCCAAACCCTCATCCTAAACCTAACCCTAAGTACATGTAGTGCATGCAGTTAATTAATATTACTAAGTACTTAAATGTATAATTACACTGTAACAAGGACACCTTAAAGTGCCCCTATTATGCCATTTTTAAGGTTCCTAATATTGTTTTGGGAGTCTCCTACAATAGGATTACATGCATGCAAGGTCAAAAAATGCTTTCGTTTTCTCAAAATATGCATTTAATATCACCTCATTTTCCAGCGATTCTCAAACGATTCGTTCAAAGCAGTTCTAAGATTCAGTCTGTCTAACCCCCTCCTTTCCGTAAGCCTACTCTGCTCTGATTGGTCAGATGGCCCAGTCTGTTGTGATTGGTCTACTGTGTACAGCGCTTGTCGGAAACGATACTCCCATTGCCATAGTTCCATATTTTGAATGCTTGATAGAAAATATAAACATCTATTATTTTATCATACTTGTGATTCAGTGGAGCCAGCTGGTCCAAATAAACGGAGTACTGTGCCATCGTTCAAGAGCAAGCGTTTAGTGAATCCTGCGTTGAACTCCCCGAGATTAGAGAAGCAGTCGGCAGTAAAATTACGTGTTTGTGGGCGGGGTCAAGTTGTTCGCTGCCAGTCAATGTAGAACATAGGCGGGAATTATGCAAATGTGTTACCCCATGACGTATATCCGTCACGGAAGTGGAATTCGAATGACTAATGACTCATTTAGGCTGTAGAGAGTCGATTCTTTATTTTGGGAGACAATAACTTTATTTATCGTGCACTTTCGGCTTTACAACTTTGCTGATCGTTTACATTCACATACAGCTACATTACACGCTGCATGAAAGGCAATATTGGAAATGGCATAACAGGGGCACTTTAAAATAAAGTGTAACCTGGAATTCCTACAGTGACAGATGTAAAGATCATGTTATGTGAAAAATATAGTAAAACTGACCCATATATAAATTTACATTATAAAATATTAACCACCGAGGTTGATAGGGTTATTATACACAATATAATTAAGTTAATTATGAATGTGAGTTCAGATCTAGGACCTTGTAGCTGATCAGTGAGCATTTGTTTGGAATTTGAGTTATTATGAAATGTGCTCTATCCAGTTCCTGTTTTTTAACAGGCAGGTTTTTTTTTTCAAACCGTTGTGCACACCTTTTCTTTGTGTAAATGCACAATTAATATATATTTTTGTCTTGGCTATCTTATCTTTAATCTCTGTTCTTTGCAGATTTTGTGTTTTGTGTTTCATGTTAATCCTTTTTCGAACAAACCCCAACTAGTTTCTTCAGAGAACATTTTCAGAAATTCAAGGCAAAAATGGCACCAAACATGCAAATTTTTTATGTAACTAATAAATCACTTCACTTGCTGGACAAAGGGCATAAATATACACACGTATAATTATACTAATATATAAATCTTATTATTTCAAATGTATTCTAGCAGAGTGTTCATTGTATTAGGTATTATGATTGTGCATTATATGTAGAGGTAGATTTGATTTAAAATCAACAGCCATAATTGTTCACAGTTTATTTCAATTAAAGTCAGAGTAAACCATAAAAAAGGATTGTAACATGGATTGTAACATATTTTGACAATGTTACAACTAGTATATTTACAACAGTACTAGTAATGTTAAGAAAGTAAAAATCTATATCTAGGGTTCATTTTAATTTCATACTGGCTTTAATAGAAACTGAATTTGAACTGTTTGACAAATGGACAACATACATGTTTTTCTTAGAGATGCACCGAGATCGATCGGCCAGGGATCGGAATCGGACGATTTTCCTCATGATCGGTGACCGGCCGGTCAGTCTCACTTCTTTCTGATTCTGAGCCGATCCGTTTTGTTACCAGCGGCACAGGCAATAACACCAGCCGCGCATTCTCGCTCTCTTCTCTCCAACGTCCCTTTCCCTCTCACACACGTCTCATTCGCTCTGGTTAAATAATGCTTGTATTGCGCATTAGTTTAGTCATTCCCGCAGGTTTCGCGCTTACACCAAAAGCGTGCGCACCATCACTGATCTATATTAGTGGAGCGCACAAGCCATGCTCAGTCTCAAACAGCTTGTGAGCCACAAATACCAAAATGAATGGCTAACTGCGCTAAAACGTTCAAATACATACAAAATTATGTCAAAGTGCCCGTCTTGGCGAGTATCCAGTTAAACACAGTCAGTTTCGGAACATTAAATAGTTGAGAAACAGGACGCATGTTGTGTAACAGTATATTGGGTCCGTGGATAAACTCTTATTTTCTCAAAATATGCATTTAATATCACCTCATTTTCCAGCGATTCTCAAACGATTCGTTCAAAGCAGTTCTAAGATTCAGTCTCTCTAAACCCCTCCTTTCCGTAAGCCTACTCTGCTCTGATTGGTCAGATGGCCCAGTCTGTTGTGATTGGTCTACTGTGTACAGCGCTTGTCGGAAACGATACTCCCATTGCCATAGTTCCATATTTTGAATGCTTGATAGAAAATATAAACATCTATTATTTTATCATACTTGTGATTCAGTGGAGCCAGCTGGTCCAAATAAACGGAGTACTGTGCCATCGTTCAAGAGCAAGCGTTTAGTGAATCCTGCGTTGAACTCCCCGAGATTAGAGAAGCAGTCGGCAGTAAAATTACGTGTTTGTGGGCGGGGTCAAGTTGTTCGCTGCCAGTCAATGTAGAACATAGGCGGGAATTATGCAAATGTGTTACCCCATGACGTATATCCGTCACGGAAGTGGAATTCGAATGACTAATGACTCATTTAGGCTGTAGAGAGTCGATTCTTTATTTTGGGAGACAATAACTTTATTTATCGTGCACTTTCGGCTTTACAACTTTGCTGATCGTTTACATTCACATACAGCTACATTACACGCTGCATGAAAGGCAATATTGGAAATGGCATAACAGGGGCACTTTAAAATAAAGTGTAACCTGGAATTCCTACAGTGACAGATGTAAAGATCATGTTATGTGAAAAATATAGTAAAACTGACCCATATATAAATTTACATTATAAAATATTAACCACCGAGGTTGATAGGGTTATTATACACAATATAATTAAGTTAATTATGAATGTGAGTTCAGATCTAGGACCTTGTAGCTGATCAGTGAGCATTTGTTTGGAATTTGAGTTATTATGAAATGTGCTCTATCCAGTTCCTGTTTTTTAACAGGCAGGTTTTTTTTTTCAAACCGTTGTGCACACCTTTTCTTTGTGTAAATGCACAATTAATATATATTTTTGTCTTGGCTATCTTATCTTTAATCTCTGTTCTTTGCAGATTTTGTGTTTTGTGTTTCATGTTAATCCTTTTTCGAACAAACCCCAACTAGTTTCTTCAGAGAACATTTTCAGAAATTCAAGGCAAAAATGGCACCAAACATGCAAATTTTTTATGTAACTAATAAATCACTTCACTTGCTGGACAAAGGGCATAAATATACACACGTATAATTATACTAATATATAAATCTTATTATTTCAAATGTATTCTAGCAGAGTGTTCATTGTATTAGGTATTATGATTGTGCATTATATGTAGAGGTAGATTTGATTTCAAATCAACAGCCATAATTGTTCACAGTTTATTTCAATTAAAGTCAGAGTAAACCATAAAAAAGGATTGTAACATGGATTGTAACATATTTTGACAATGTTACAACTAGTATATTTACAACAGTACTAGTAATGTGAGCTAAGAAAGTAAAAATCTATATCTAGGGTTCATTTTAATTTCATACTGGCTTTAATAGAAACTGAATTTGAACTGTTTGACAAATGGACGACATACATGTTTTTCTTAGAGATGCACCGATCGATCGGCCAGGGATTCGCTCTGGTTAAATAATGCTTGTATTGCGCATTAGTTTAGTCATTCCCGCAGGTTTCGCGCTTACACCAAAAGCGTGCGCACCATTACTGATCTATATTAGTGGAGCGCACAAGCCATGCTCAGTCTCAAACAGCTTGTGAGCCACAAATACCAAAATGAATGGCTAACTGCGCTAAAACGTTCAAATACATACAAAATTATGTCAAAGTGCCCGTCTTGGCGAGTATCCAGTTAAACACAGTCAGTTTTGGAACATTAAATAGTTGAGAAAGAGGACGCATGTTGTGTAACAGTATATTGGGTCCGTGGATAAACTCTTAAAGGGACTGCAGTCCAATATTCCTGCTGCTGTCTGTCATGTTAATCAAAGAAGAAACGACAAAGAAAATCAC